GCAAAATGTCACTTGCTAGCCAAAAAAAATCTACATCTGTCGATTCAACAGATCATCCAGCAAGATCCAGAATCTTTCCTAGAGCCACATATATTTTTGCTTGTCAACTACTCTTCCTTGGATTTATTTCAGCAAACCTTATAACACTGGCATTCAGCCATGTTGATTCCTAACACCCATGCAAGATGCCTCTTCCTTTACACCACAGCCAACACTAACATGAATTTGCTGTTCACAGCAAGCCCTGATAAGTACTAATAATCACAGCAAGTAATCAGGGAAGGGATAGGTAAGATTTACACTTGAGAGGATAGGCCTCAGGGTATGTACAACTCCATTGCCTGTTCGTAATCCCTTAATTGTGGTTAAGGGATTATGAATGTTATGCATATATGACCACCTATCTGATGATCCCCCCCTCTTATATATACAAATAAACGTTCTCAGATGTATTTAGTCTGGAGGTGTAACTCTGCTAAAACCTTTGCAACCCAGACTCTTTCACTCCCCATTCTGGTATGGTGCATCAAATGAATGCAGAAGCAAACTGTTTATAGGTGCCAACGACAGTGTGCGTCTGTGTGTTTGCTGCGTCACATCAAAAGAAAGCTGAAGCCCTGGAGACCATCCGCAACTCCCTCGGCCTTTGATACAAAAATGACCTAAGAAAACTATTTCACTTCATTTTATTATACAGAGATAATTTGTTTTCCCTTTGTGTAAAAAAAAAAAAGTGTACAGAAAAACCGTGTAAACATTCGATTTATGCTTCGGTCAGGACAGAATACTTTCCTCGACGTCTTCCAGACGATTTGCAGTCGGCAACCACCTTTGTATCTCAGTCGTCCTCTTCCTCATCGGAATCCAATACTTTTCTTCTGTTGAACTGGGGGGGGGGAGTTACAGTGTGAGCTAACATTGTACTCTTACCAAAAGTTCTAACGTGAAGAGACAAGTCTTTAGCAGATTCCTGGCTGCTTTAGGGAAAGATCCCAGACCACTCTGGTGGCGGCATGATTCTGGCTTCTGAAAATTCAGTGCCCCACTAGGCTGGTTTTATTTTATTTATTTTATTTACACTCCAATTTTCTCCCCAATGGGGACACAGAGTGGCTCACACTGTTCTCTCCAAGCCTGTGAAGAAGGCTGAGTATGTGTGACTAGTCCAAAGTCACCCAGCAAATTTCCACAGTAGAGAACACAAAGCAGAGCCCTGCTGGATCAGAGCGGTGGTCCATCTAGTCCAGCACCCTGTCTCACACAGTGGCCAACCAGTTCCTCTGCAGGGCCATCAACAGGGAACAGAGGCGGAGGCCTTCCCCTGATGTTTCCTCCTGCCACTGGTATTCAGGAGGTCACTGCCTCTGAAAGTGGACGTTCCCTTTAGTCACCGTGGCTACTAGCCACTGATGGACCTCTCCGCCGTGAATAAATTCAATCCTCTCATAGCCTAGTCTGAAACTCTAACCACCACACCACACTGTCTCTTGGGTTACAAAGCCATGAGGAGCCGCTGCAGATGCCCTCTGGAGCTCCAGTTTGACCACACACCTTCCAAGGCGGAAGCTATACTGATGCTGTTAGAGTCTCGGAGCCCATATCTGTGGGCTTACATTCCCTTTGCTAAAATAAGTTCTCAGCTGCTGATGCACACTGCAGACGGAACCTAAAGGTTTCCCTTGCTTGAAAGCCAGTTAAATCCGACTCTAGGGAGCAGTGCTCATCTCCGTTTCTAAGCCGAAGAGCCAGCGCTGTCCAAAGACGTCTCCGTGATCATGTGGCCAGCATGACTGAGTGCCGAGGCGCACGAAACGCTGTTACCTTCCCACCAAAGCAGTACCTATTTATCTACTTGCAATTTCTTGCTTTCGAACTGCTAGGTTGGCAGGAGCTGGGACCAGAGACGGAAGCTCACTCGGTCACACGGCACTAGTGTCTCGAACTGCTGAGCTACCGACCTTCCAGTCTGCAATTCAGCATCTTAACCTCTGAGCCTAGGAGCCCGCTAATCATCGCACCAATGGTACAATAGGGGGGGAAACAACAAAAAAAGGGAACTGATTAAAATAAATTTAGAATCGATCCACTGTCTCTTAAAGATGCACATAATTACTGTTAACTTGACACCCACTGTAAATCTTTTCAAATGTAAACACACTTTTTGTACCAGCAAGTTGCTTATGGGGATTTATGGCCAAGAAATGTTTTTTCACCAAACCGCCTACAGGATGAAAACACACTATACAGCTCTTTCGACAAAATGTACTGATTCCTATTTATTTAAACATTAAACATTTAAATATTTTCCTGGTAGTTCAAGGTGGCTTACTAGTTCTCTATCACAGAACTGGTACGAACTTGTAGTATGAGCAGTAGACTTAACACCCATTTGCGGCAGGTGGAGAACAGCCTGCTAGCTATTGTTGTATTTTTGCACTTTATTTTTGTACTGTAAGCCACTCTGGATCCCCATTGAGGAGAAATGTGGGAGATACACGATGCCTTCCTAAGGGAAGAAAATGCTGCGGCTGACAACTGAGCCTGACAACAATGCTCACGCTTGAAAAAAACATACCCCTTTGGAAAACTGAATGGATCCAATACTGGCCAACTCGCTAATTTTTTTTTTTTTATCACCACCTTTTTTTAGTAAAGGTAAAAGGTAAAGATTTCCCTTGCTCGAAAGCCAGTCGAATCCGATTCTAGGGGGCGGTGCTCATCTCCGTTTCCAAGCCAAAGAGCCAGCACTGTCTGAAGACTTTTTAGCGTGACTAAACACCGAGGTGCACAGAACGCTCTTACCTTCCCACTGAAGCAGTACCTATTTATCTACTTGCAGTTTCTTGCTTTCGAACTGCTAGGTTGGTGGGAACTGGGGCCAGAGACGGGAGCTCACTCCGTCACGCGGCGCTCGGGTCTCGAACTGCCGAACTACAGACCTTCTGGTCTGCAGCTCAGCATCTTAGCTACTGCTACATCCAGGGCTTCCCTAACTAGACCAAACCTATTTCTGATAATGGGATGGATACCCGTCAGTGGCCATTTGTTCTACAAAATATAAGAGGGAACCATCAGGGAAACGGAAACAACTTTTGCCAGTAGGAAAGCAATTTGGGAATTCTGGCCATGAGTGAGGGGAGACTTACTCCACTCTGCACGGCTGAAGCAGCACCGAGAAGGGCAGCCCGAAAAGCCTGGCTTGGTAGAGCTTCTCACATCTTCATACTCCCTCACCCGCCCACTCACCTCTGGAGGAGGTTTAGGTGCCACTTTCAAACAGGCTTTAAATGTTAAGGTCTCTTACCTTTACTGTTGTTTTCTTTTCGGTTTGCTGACTCACTTTTTCAAGTATTTCTATCAATCCTTGATCGGATACCTAAAGAAACAAGACAACCAAACAAATCTAATGCAGGGGAAAAAAACGGTTTGGAGAAATCGTTCACACTGTGTCTTTCTGCTACTCCCTGAACGACACTTTGTAGGTTTCCTTCTGTACTATTTGGTATCTGTCTCAGAAAGGCTCACTAGCACCAAGCAGCAGTTCACATTATACCATGGTGCTATATTCCTGTCCAACACACAACAGCGGCGGAAGCCCAGAACCAGCTTGCAGATTCAGAGGGGCACCATAATTAGTCATCTCGTCATCTCTGAGTGTTTAAATATTTTGCCCTCCCTGGCCCCAGGCAGGCAGGGGTGGGAAGAGGCAGGGAGAAAGCAACTTACCCTCCCTCTTCTCCTGCCTCCTCCTGGCTGAATGAGGGCCGGAAGCGGGGTGGCCGGAAGCAGGGGGTGGGGCTTAGTCATGTGCCCCGTCCCCCGTACCTCACTTGGGGGAACTGCGATCCCCCGTGATCCCCCCCGAAATGACCTCTGTTTGTGACGATTTGCTTTTATTTTAAAACCAAAGAAAAGGAGGTTTAAAAACTACTGCAGAGATTAATGAAAGCTAACAGTCAATGAAATAAAAATTTTTTAAATACTCTGTAGCCAAGTTTTTTCTTCTAGAATGTGTAACACTGCCAGTGCCAGGTATATTGTCTTGCAGGTTCTCACCAAGGTCTATCTAGTCTAGCATTCTATTTTGAACAACAATCTCTGAGAAGCCGCTGGTATTCGGGTATTATACTTCTTACCACGGAGTTTCCACTGAACTTTAAATCCATCCCTTTACGAATCTGACAGTTCCAAGATACGTTTAATTATATAATAAAAATAAAAATAATAGAATAAAACTTACCTTCCCGTTTAACTGTCCAAACCTTGCCATCTGTATGAGATAATTCTCAACTGCTTTCGCCTTTTCCGGCTTTACAAGTGCTAAATTACTTACTGCAAGGAAAAAAATTGGTTGTTTTTTGATTAAAAAAATATTTTACTTTTAATTTGTTTTTTAACTTAACACAGGACAGGGAATAGTCTTCAGATAAGTTAATTCACACCATTGTGGGGGAAAATCCTGAATTAAAATGTGGCATGTATATTTACTCTTAAATGGTCCAGGCGAAACTGATCATGTCAGATCTTGGAAGCTAAGCAGGGTCTGCCGTGGTACTTGGAAGGGAGTCCACCAAGGAAGCCCAGGGTTGTTATGCACAGGCAGGCAATAGCAAACCACCTCTGAAAACCCTATGGGGTCGCCATAAATCAGTTGTGACTTGGACGGCAAAAAAAAAATTACAATTATTTGAAGATTTACTACACCATCTCTGACAACACAGTGTTCATGAAAGCAGAATTACTGAACAGTGTCTATCAGTGCTCCCTCTAAGCTGTGGAGTCTTGTGAGCAAAAATTCTACTTTGTGAGCTACTGACATTAAAGTTGTGAGCGAGTGATTTGGCTGCTGCATAAATTAGTTTGGCTCTGGAGACCTCCTTCCTGAGCTAAGACAAAAATCGGTGAGTCGGGGGGGGGGCTGAAAAACTGTGAGCTAGCTCACACTAACTCAACTTAGAGGGAACACTGGTGTCTATAGCACTGCCCTCTTTCTTCTCCATTGGAGATGATCCTGTATGTCTTCAAACACTTCTCTGGGATACTGTAGGCTGATCCTGCACTGAGCAGGGGGTTAGACTAGATGGCCTGCATGGCCCTTTCCAACTCTATGATTCTAAGATTTTGATTCAGGGAAGGACTAATTAGGGTCCTAGAAATCAAGCAGAAGATAACATGCATGCTTACATCTGGCACGAGCTGCCTGATCCAAAACCTGAGCCAAGATGTTATTCCTCATTTCCACCTCCCTTTAATAACAAAAGAAGCACAGGGAAAATTTCAGGGTCAGAAGGGATTTGGGAGCACGCTGTATGAGAGGCAGCCACAAACAGCTTCGTTTTTACAATCTGCATGCAGCCATTATTATAGGCACTGTCCCTGTGAATCAGCAAAGCACCAACTTAGGTATCAAAAGTGTTCACACATCCCAAACCACCAGGCAAACAGCTATTCTTGTAGCTTAGATTTCTGAACAGTAAATGCCTCCCCCCACCAACATCCCAAATATCTTCAGCATAAGACATTCAACAAATTCCTCATACCCTTCATGACCACAATTTTGTGACCTCTGTACTACTTTAAGAAATAAAGCTTCATATGGCTGACCTCTGCAAAGAGTTGGATCGGAATAATAAAATTTAAGGGCAGCGTCCGGTTTTGTCCCATCTCCCACACTGTGTTCACGAGGGAGACTTATAAGAGTGAACGAATTGACTATTAATTGAAAGACAACCCCCCCATTCAGCTCAAAAGCAGGCCTAAGATTATTTGTGGCTCAGTACCAAAACTCTCACATATGGAAATTCCAGCTCCATTTAGCAGCAGTATCATGATACTGGAAGATTAGCAACCTTTTGTGTGTTAGTTTTATTTATCGGCTCCCAAGGCAAAAAAAGAAGGGAGCAGGAACCTTACTTAAAGGTAAAGGTTTCCCTTGCTCAAAGGCTAGTCGAATCAAACTCTAGTGGGCAGTGCTCATCTCAGTTTCCAAGCTGAAGAGCCAGCATTGTCCGAAGACATTTCTGTGGTCATGTGGCTGGCATGACTAGATGCTGAGGTACATGGAATGCTGTTACCTTCTCACCGAAGCAGTACCTATTTATCTACTTGCAATTTCTTGCTTTTGAACTGCTAGGTTGGCAGAATCTGGGGGCAGAGACGGGAGCTCACTCCGTCACACAGCACTCGGGTCTCGAACTGCTGAACTACAGACCTTCCGGTCTGCAGCTCAGCGTCTTACCCTCTGAGCCACCGCGTTCCAACCTTACTTAAAGAGTCAGCTGCCTGCAACCTTACTTTGCAGAGGCAGCCAATTAGTGGCTTTTTGTAGGCCTCCTTAAGTGAGGCTGGGCCACTCATTGGCTGCCTCTGCAAAATGAAAAATTGCTTGCAGGCAACTGACCTCTAACTGTGGGCTGTCACATTAGAACCTAAGAAGAGCCCTGCTGGATCAGACCAGCGGTCCGTCTAGTCCAGCATCCTGTCTCACTCAGTGGCCAAACCAGTTCCTCTGGAAGTCCAACAACAGGGCATGGAGGCCAAGGCCTTCCCCTGATGTTGCCTCCTGGCTCTGGGATTCAGAGGACTGGTGCCTCTGAATGCGGAGGCAGACTAGTCAAGCTAGCCCTGATAGAACCGCTTAGCAGAAGAATGCAGTGAATAGATATCCACTTCCCAATATTTTATAATTACAGCGGCCAGAACTATACAAAAAAGGTTCAAATGCATTCAGGTTTCTAGACCACATTATGTATAACAGCAGCAGCCCATACCTCTGCTTTGCTTCTTGTTGTACAACTTCACCAGAGGGATCCTGAAAGTTTGCAAACAAAATAGAAGCTGTTTTAATAGCAGCACTGCAACAGGGGAGAGCTTAAGTTTTAGCTAAGGTAGGCAATGATGTGTAGACATCATTGTAAGCTCCATTATAAGAACAGTTAAACAAATGCACAGCCCATAGTGCACTGGTCAATTTCTGTATGCACAGAAGTATACAAGTTTCAGACTACGCAGACATCTACCTACCAGTCAAGAGGAACTTTTTGAGCCACAAACAGAAGAGAGCCCCTTCCTTAATGCAGACACCCAAAGGAACCAGCGTGTCACCTGCAATGTGAAGGAACTGCTCCCAAGGACCCAGGCAGAAAAGCTGACAAACTTTGTTCTGTTTTTCTTTTAGGTTACAAACTATCAAGTGTGACCTAATAAAACAACCCTCTCCCCTCCCCACAACCTAGAACATTTTAGTTCATTTGTTCTTGCCTCTAGATCAGTGGTCACAGAGCCCCACTAGCTGGATTGAGAGGTCCCCAAATTTCTTTTTGCTGCTTTTGGAAAGACTTCCTGTGCCTCTTGTCCTGTCTTTGGCATGCTGCGAGGAAAAGCAGGAGAGTGAGCCAAGGTCACGCCATGGTGGGGAAGACTCCTCCATAGCTGTGACCCTTGGCTTGGTTCTCACTGCAGAGTTCTCCACTATGTCCATGTCTCTTTCCACCGTCCAGGGTCCTGGCCTTGTCACTGTTGAGGTCCTAACAGTGGCTACCCCTCTTCCTGTCACATGACTGTGATGTCACATGCCAGCAGCTAGTGGGTTCCATGCTGCCTGGGGATTAAAGGTGAGCCCCAGGTTTAGAAAGGTTGAAGGCTCCTGCTCAAGATTCTTGTTGATGAGTAGCTTTATCAGACAACGATTCTGAAGAAGGGATGGAGGGTGGGTGGCCAAAAGACCCCATCTCAGTGGACAGCACTGACTAACCCTTTGTCCACAGACCCTGAAATGTGTGGCAGACAACGGAAAGCACGGAATACCCTTAGTGAGCTGGATGTGGCCCACAGACCACTACTGGGCGAGCTGTACACCAAGCATAAAACCCCCCATTAAAATACACTTTCCAGGTAGGTGGGTGTGGATACAGAATTAGAACCGCCAAATCTGACTATCTGAAGTGCGGAGGGGGCACTAAAGTGGTAAACCTGCATCTGGGTTGTACCACTTTTGGTTGCACAGAATTCTCTTCCATATTAATCCCCCCTCCAAAAAAAGAAAAATGCACACACAACACTAGTACACCAGAGAGAAAGAACCCCATCTTCACACAACATGCCTTTCATGTGGAAGAAGCCATTTTTATACACAAGAGAACAATCTTTGCCTTGACATCTAGCATTCTATGTTACACAATTTCTGCTACATGGGCAAATATCCAATCAGTGCTATACCCAGTAGACTATTTTATTTAGTTAGATATTTATCCCCTTTTTTCTCTTCAGCGGGGGCCCAAAACAGCTTACGAACACCATTATTCCCTCCTCCTGTATTTATCCTCACAACAACCCGTGAGGTAGGTTAGGCTGAGAGGGTGTGTGACTGGCCCAAGGTCTCCCAGCAAGCCTCCATGGCAGAGGGGGGATTTGAACCCGGGTCTCCCAGATCCTAGTTCAAAGCTAACCACTGCCACTATCCTGGTGTACAGCCGCAAGCTCAGCCTACTGCCAGTTTTGAATCTTCCACATACAAATTCTTTGCTCATAAGGACATAAGAGTCCTACTGGATCAGACCAGTGGTCCATCTAGTCCAGCATCCTGTCTCACACAATGACCAACCAGTTCCTCTGGAAGGCCAACAACAGGGCATGGAGGCTGAGGCCTTCCCCTGATGTTGCCTGCTGGATCTGGGATTCAGAGGCTGACTGTATATTGAGTGTGGAGGTTCTCTTCAGTCACCAGGGCTAGTTTCCACTGATAGACCTACCCTCCATGAATCTACTGTCCCTTTAAAGCCATCCATGCCTGTGGCCATCACTACATCCTCTGGCAGCGAATGCCACATTTTAATCACTCGCTGTGTGAAGAAGTCTTTCCTTCTGTCCGTCCTGAATCTACTGCCCATCACCTTCACTGGATGCCCTTTCATTCTAGCATTTTGCCCTCATGGGAAAGCATCGCCATGCCAAGAAAGAAGGAAGACCCTAGCCTGACCTTCCCTTTAACACGCTAATTTGCTACATACATGTAACTTGTTTCATATGGGAAAATAGTCAAGATTCCCATGCCTTCCCTAAGACTCACTAGTTTTCTAATCAGAATTGCCTCACCATATCTGGCCTCCCCTCCCCGCCGCCTTTATCCAGCTATGTGGACTAGTATACTAACTTAGGTTACTGCATGGGGGCTAGGCCTAATTATGATCTAAGTGGCCCTTCTGGTGCCACACACAGTTAATACTCCTATGGCCTATATGCTACCATCTTGCCATCATGTAAATTGGGGTTTAGCTTTTTGCTTGAATTGTATTAATTTTTATATGTTTTATTGCTATGTTGTACCCCACCCTAAGGCCACTTTCAGGGGATGGGGCGGGCAGAGCTGCCAGATCCAGGTTGGAGATTTGGGGGGTGGAGCCTGGGGAGGACAGGGGGGTACAATGCCACAGAGTCCACCCTCCAAAGCCTCCATTTTCTCCAGGGGAACTGATCTCTGTCGTCTGGAGATGAGCTGTAACTCCAGGGGAGCCCCAGGTCCCACCTGGAGGCTGGCATCCCTAGTCCCATATCAAGAAGGATGTTTCTAGAAGAAGAGATTGGATTTATACCCCGCTCTTCACTTGGGAGTCTCAGAGTGGCAGACAATCTCCTTTCCCTTCCCCTCCCCACAACAGACGCCCTGTGAGGTAGGTGGGGCTGAGAGAGCTCTTTTGAGGACCGCCCTGGAGAGAACAGCTCTGAGAGAACTGTGACTGACCCCAGGTCACACCAGCAGCTGCAAGTGGAGGAGTGGGGGCTCAAACCCGGGTTCTCCCAGATTAGAGTCCAGCACTCTTAACCGACTACACCAAACTGGCCCTTCCATTTCCTTCACAAGCCACCTCTGTAAGCTCCTCCCTCATCCCCAGCACGCTAGCGCGTCGAGAGCAACGCGCTGAAGCTTTGCTATCTCCTTGACAAGCTAGTTTTCTATGCCCAAGGATTTAAAAACAAAAACAAAACCACACTGCTCTAAAGAAACACGTGTAGCCCGCCTCCTCCCCCCCCCCCGGTTCAGTGTGA